TGTATAGCAAGAATATTGTACAGCATTTGTTGTACCTATATCAAGTTCTTGAGAAACTTCGGGAACAGAAGCTTTATGTCAACTTAAAAAAATGCCACTTTTGCACTACGAGCTTAATCTTCTTAGGCTTTGTAGTCTCAAGTGATGGAATCAAGATGGATCCAAGCAAGGTGGAGGCAATCACAAGTTGGCTAGTCCCAAAATCAATTCAGGACATTCGAAGTTTTCATGGGTTAGCTTCTTTTTACCGTCGTTTTATAAAACAATTCAGCACTATTATATCTCTTGTCATCGATTGTTTGAAAGGTGGAGTATTTAAGTGGACGGAGGAAGCACAGAAGAATTTTGAGTTTTTAAAGAAGAAGGTAACAGAAGCTCCTATTTTGAGGTTGCCAAATTTTGAAGTTGTCTTTGAAGTAGAATGTGATACGTCAAATGTGGGAATTGGTGCAGTTCTCAGTCAAGAAGGAAAGCCTATTGCCTATCTCAGTGAGAAGTTAAGTGATTCTCAAAAGCCATACTCTACATATGATAAGGAGTTATATGCTCTTGTACGAACATTAGAGCATTGGAGTCATTACCTTTTGTCTAAAGAGTTTGTTCTCTTCTTCGATCATGAAGCATCGAAGTATATCAATGGGCAACATAAGTTGAATCGCCGACATGCTTAATGGGTGGAATTTTTGTAGGCTTTTTCATTTAAAATCAAGCATAAATCAGGTATCCAGAATAAAGTGGCTGATGCATTGAGTCGAAGATATTCTTTGCTATGTACTATGGAAGTGAAGGTTCTCGGCTTTGAAGTTCTCAATGGATTATATCAGGATGATCCATATTTTGGTGATATTTAACTAAATGTGTAAAAGGTCCATTTAGTCATTTTATGTTACAGGATGGTTATCTGTTCAAGGATAATCGTTTATGCATTCCGCAAAGCTCTTTACGAGAAGCAATTATTCTAGAAGCTCATGGAGGTGGACTAGCTGGACACTTTGGGCATGACAAAACCCTTTCACTGGTGGCGTCACAATTTTATTGGCCTAGGATGGAGAGGGACATTATGAGACATCTACAGCGTTGCAAGATCTGTCATCTGGCCAAAACTCATGGATAGAACACAGGTCTATATATTCCATTACCAGTTCCAAATTCACCGTGGGAGGAAGTTAGCATTGATTTTGTATTGGGGTTGCCACGGACACAAAGGAACAAAGATTCAATCATGGTAGTTGTTGATCGCTTCTCGAAGATGGTGCACTTTGTTCCTTGTAACAAGACCACGGATGCTTCACATGTGGCTGATTTGTATTTTCGAGAGATTGTGCGACTTCATGGTGTACCAAAAACAATTGTCTCGGATCGGGATACCAAGTTTATAGGTTACTTCTGGCACACTTTGTGGAGGAAACTTGGTACAAAATTGTTTTTTAGCACATCTTATCACCCGCAAACCGATGGGCAGACCGAAGTTGTCAATCGAAGTTTAGGCAATCTGTTGAGAAGTCTGGTGGGTAAGAATATTCGTCAGTGGGATCTTATGCTAGCTCATGCGGAGTATGCCTATAACTGTTCTACAAGCTAGACTACTGGTTGCACCCCTTTTGAAGCCGTGTATGGCCTGAATCCAATTAGTCCTTTGGATTTGGCACCTATCATTTTGGTACAACAATACAATGGGGATGTTGATGCGAGGGCCAAGGAAATAAAGATGATGCACGAGCAAATTTGGGAGAAAATTATTAAGCAAAATGAGAAGTATCGTGTTGCCACTAATAAACATCGTAGACCAGCTATTTTCAAGGAGAGAGATATGGTGTAGATTCATCTTCGTAAAGAACATTTTTCGAAAGGAAAGTATGGAAAGTCGATGCCTCGAGCTGATGGTCCATTTAAAGTCCTACAATGTGACGGGGAAAATGCGTACAAAATTGAGCTTCCAGTAGAGTATGGTGTTTCAACTACGTTCAATGTTTCAGATTTCTCCCTTTACCATGAGAATGAAGATGAAGCAGTTCTAGACTCGAGGACGAGTCTTTTTCAACCGGGGGAGCATGACACGGGTGGCAGTATAAAAAAATTAAATTCCGAGACATGAGCAAATTAAGGAAAGTTTTGGCAGAATAAAGAAGAATAAGGAAAGTAGCGATTATGGAAATTTCTGGGATTTCTTTTATTATTCTCTTACCTTAAGTTTAGTATTAATTTACTTTCTAGTTTTTTTAAAAAGATTATATTCTAAGTTTAATATTTTTTTGCGTTAATTTTCGTGCTTATAAAGACAATAATTCTGTAATGAAAGACAGTTTTTGAGTTTTATGAAATTAATCAGCAATTGGCTGATTTTTAGGAAGAAAAGATTTTCTTCTTGAATTGTTCTGTATCTCCAGCCTTTTCCCTTTAAGTGGTGAGTCGAATCCAACTCTGTATCTTAAGGAAGTTGCCTGTGAGTGGTGAACATCGAGACTGGATAATCATCTGGTCTTTTTATAAATTTTGTCTAAGGTGCTGTGAATTTTCCAGCATCAGATTTTCTGTGAATTTCCAGCATCAGGGCCTCACTTCGTCACATTTGGTTTTTTTTTTTTGAATTATATGAAAAAACTAAAAGGAGAAATCATTTGCTTTTCCTCACGGACTCCAGCTCGCCGCCTCTCCTCTCGCATGGAGATACAACACCGACTTGGGAAGAAAGTTTCAGATTACCTTCAATTATGGATTCTACAGGGCTGCAATTGATTATGTCTCCGAAATTGCTTCATAATCTGGAAGAAGTCTAGAATAATCCAAATTGGTAAGAATTATTTGCATCCACCGGCACCGATTTGCTAAATTGTGTAGAGAAATCTTCTACCGACAATAGCTTACCAATTGTATGCATGTGTACAGCCTCTCCATTTTGAGTATAAGTAGATGAAAGTAGTGAAAAACAAAATATATGTGTATACCTGAAAGTGTGAAGATAGTGGGCAGAGAGAGAAAGAGATTAGTGAGAGAAAAAAGTAAGAGAGCAGGGAGAATGGTCAGAAAGTAAAATACAGAGAGGCGGACGGGCACTGCATTATTGTGAGAGAATTTAGAGGAATGATATAATTAAAGATTGAGGTGCTTGCTTAGAGTGAAAATATTTTAGTAAGGTGTGTTTGTCAAAATTGAATTGTACAACTTCTTTATATAGTGAAAATAAATTTTTGTGTGTTTCAAATTCAACAATTTGGCTGTTGTTTTAGAATTCAACAATTTGGGAATTTTGGGTAAATAGATAATATATTTGGTTGTTGTTTTAATGTTAGTTTTTTAAGTTATCAATGGATTGCATAATACACCGTTGAATTTTGCATTTACGTTGCTTTCGCTGGGGGGTCTAATTTATAGACTTTGCCTTAGGCCCCGGCAATCACAGGACTGGCCCTGGTTAGGGGAACCTATTAGGAGAAAAGTTGTGAAATAGCGTTAATGGAAAGGAAAAGTTTTCATGTACATAATTATTGTACATAATGTTATCCATAATGCGATGTAGCAATCATCCTGTTGTTGATGTGAAAGTGTGAGATTTGAATTATGTTAGGAAAATGTGTAATTGGCAATCTGTGACCAAAGGACCTATTTGTCAAAATTGTAAATTCAAGGACCAAATTGTAAAGGTCTAACAGTTCAGGGACTAAAGTTGCAATTTAGCAAAGTTCATAGCATAGGTCTAGGGTAAAGTGGGATGCTTTGAAGATGCAAACGACGCGTTGATTTCGCTAGAGTTTTGCCCTGACCTCGCTCGAGCCTAAATTGTAGAACAGACGTTGCTAGAGTTTCGCTGAGCTGTCGCTCGAGCGAAGGTATGTAGCTCAAGTTTCGCCAGCACCTCGTTCGAGCGATAGTGCTATCTGACCTTTGGTAATTCTAATGCCTCGCGAATTTTTAACGCTCCATTTTACCAAATTCAACCTACTATATAAAAATAATGTCCGATTTTCGTTAAAGACCTTTGGCAAACATTCAAACAGGAATTCCTCTCAACTTCCAAAGGATTAAGAAGCTAATATTCATTCTTTTCATCTTTCAATTCTCATGGTTCTTTGAATAAAAACATCAACCCTCTCAAAACCAAAACACCCTTTCATATCTCCATATCAACTTCTAGAAGATCGTCAGTTTGAAGATTCGGGAAGGTAATTGCTTGAAGAGCTGGAGTGCTTGGTGATTCACGGGAGGTAGAAGATATTCAAGGCTGGGATTTTGGCACAGATCTACAAAATCCAGGATAGCTGTGGTCGATATAGGAAGGAGGTCAGAGTATTGTTAGAATCAATAATGTCTGGCGTACTGTAAGTCAATATCTTCTATAGTGGATCTCTATTGGCTTGTGCCCGGAGTTTTTACCCAGTTGGGTTTTCTCCGTCAACATTTTGTGGCGTTTTTACTGGTTTTTGTTATTTACTTTTCAACCGGTAATTCAACTTAGGTAGATAAAGTATGTGAATGAATATGGACAATGCATAATTTATGTGACTTGTTGCATAAGTTAATTAATTGCCTTAATTTTGCATAAATACCTATTCATCCCCCCTCTAGGTGTTGGTTAGGTCGAACTATAGCTTTTTCAAGTGGTATCAGAGCCAAATCTCGAGTCCTGACCCATAGTTGTCTAGATGAGTCAATCACTGTCTGTACCTCCATTTTTCGATGGAAGTAATTATGCTTATTGGAAGGTTAGAATGTGTGCTTTTCTTAAGTCTTTAGATGAGCATGTTTGGGTAAGTGTGCAAAATGGTTGGAAACCTTCCTCCACTACCGTTTCTGGAACTATTAATCTAACTGACATATCACTGTGGACTAAAGATGAAATAGCTGAGTGTAATTGGAATAGCAAGGGTCTTCATAACCTGTTTATGGCCGTGTCTCCCGAAGAGTTTAGGAGAGTGTCAATGTGTGAAACTGTTAAAGAGGTTTGGGACATTCTTGAAACTACACATGAGGGAACTAAAACGGTAAAGAATTCTAAGTTACAAATGCTAGCATCTAGGTTTGAAGAAGTTAGAATGAAGGATGATGAAACGTTTGATGAATTCTATGCTAAATTGAATGACATTGTTAATTCTAGCTTCAATCTAGGTGAGAGAATTCCTGAGTCTAAAATTGTGAGAAAAGTGCTTAGGTCTCTGCCTGAGAGATTTAGGCCTAAAGTCACTGCCATTGAGGAAAGTAAGGACCTAGATGAAGTTAAAATTGAAGAACTGGTAGGATCCCTGCAAACTTATGAACTCACTGTCACACAACCTAAGAAAGGAAAGTCCATAGCCTTAAAATCCATCAAAGAGGATGAATCTTCTGATACTCAGTCACTTAGGGACGATGAAATTGCTTACTTTGTTAAGAGATTCCAAAAAGTTCTCAAGAATAGGAGAAAGCCTCAGGATAGAAAAAGTGGAGCCCCTAGCAGTTTTTCAAAAGAAAAATTGAAAAGTTTACCAATAAAGGGTCTAGTGATAAGCCTCATTTGGTTAGGTGCCATGAGTGTCAAGGAATAGGTCACTATAGGAATGAATGCCCTAGTTACAAGAAGAACCAAAAAAAAGGGAAAGGTAAGGCCTTAGTTGTCTCACTTACAGATAATGAATCTGAGACCAGTGATAGGCAGGAATCTTCTAGTAGTGAGGACGAAGGAAACTATAAAGCATTTGTATCGACTGTTAAGAGTGAATCTGATAAAGAAAGTGACAAGGTTGAGGAAGAACTTCCTAACGATAATTCTAGTAATGAGGATGGGGATGACATAGACATACAAGAAGCTTATCAACTTTTGTTTAAAGAGAGTCTTAAAATCAAAAAGGTCAATAAAACCCTGCTTAAAAAGGTTGATGAACTTGAAAGAGAAAAAGAGAAACTTGCTAGTAATCTTCAGGATTCACTTAAGAGTGGTAGTGAGTTAAAGTGTGTCAATGAGAAGTTAGAGGACAAGATTAAGACTTTGACTATTGAATTGGAGAAATCTAATGTTCATCTTCAGACTTTCATAAGTGGGACTAAGAAATTAGACAATATTTTGGGAATGAATAAGCCTGTAGGAGATAGGAAAGGTCTAGGATACGTTGAGGGTAACACACATGTTACTAGACCATCTAAGACTGTGTTTGTTTCTGCCTCTAAGAAAGCTAATGATGTCGGCAGTTCAAACAAGGGTAAGAATGTTCCGAGAGAACAGAGTCATCAATCACATAGGAACTTCAATCCCAGATACCCACAAACACGTACCTTTGAGCCTAGGTTCATTCCCACCTGTCACCACTGTGGAGCTCTAGGACACACTAGGCCTAGATGTTATAAGTTAGGCAATGAGCGTAGAAATCATAACATTCCTAGTCAGGTTAGCTTTCTGTCTAATCAGGTTAGTCATTTGACTGAGATGCTTACTAAGCTTACTAGGAGTACTTTATCATCTAAGAAAGTTTGGGTCAAAAAGGGTGATCTAGCTAGACATTCAGGTCAAGAAAACTGTTTTGTTACTCTGTTGCATTAAAAGCCCAAAATTACAATATGTGGTATCTAGATAGTGCATGTTCTAGGCATATGTGTGGTAATAAAGCCTTGTTCACTACTCTTGATGAATGTAATGGTGGTATGGTTACCTTTGGAGATGGGGGTTCTGTACCTATTCTTGGCAAAGGTATTGTACAAATGCATGGATTACCTGTGATCTCTAATGTGTTTTATGTGGAAGGCTTAAAGTCTAATTTGTTAAGCATTAGTCAGATTTATGATGATGATTTTGAGGTTAGCTTTGTGCAAAAGAGATGTACCATGTGTGATTCGTCCGGTGGGGTGGTCCTTGAAGGGGTTAGAATGTCTGACAATTGTTATGGAGTTTTACCTAATTCTAATTATGTGTGTAGGAGTGCAAAAATTGATGTGAGTGAGCTCTGGCACAAAAGGTTAGGTCACTTGAATTATAAGAGTCTAGTACAGCTAGCTAAGAAGGAATTGGTAGATGGTTTGCCTAAGATAAGTCCGAGTAAAAATGTTGTGTGTGGACCATGTCAACTAGGTAAACAGCTTAAGGGAAGTCATAAAAAAACTTCTAAAATTCTAACCAAAAGACCCCTGGAATTGATACACATAGATTTAATGGGACCATCTAGGATTGAGAGTCTAGGAGGTAAGCAATACATTATTGTTGTGGTAGATGACTTCTCGAGGTTCACATGGATAGAATTGCTTAGGGAAAAATCTGATGCATGTGATCTTATAAAGTCTCTGTGTAAGCGGCTTAGTAATGAACTCAATCTCAAAGTGTCTAGAATGCGTAGTGATCATGGAAAATAATTTGAAAATTCTAATCTTGAGAGTTTTTGCATGGATGAAGGGATATTGCATGAGTTTTCTTCCCCTATCACTCCTCAACAAAATGGGGTGGTTGAAAAGAAGAATCGTGTTCTTCAGGACATGGCTAGAGCCATGCTTCATGGAAGGGGACTAGCCCTACACTTTTGGGGAGAAGCTGTTAACACTGCATGCCACATAATCAATAGAGTCTACCTTAGACCCAAGACCCATCAGACTCCTTATGAAATTCTTAAGGGTAAAAAGCCTACGGTTAAGTACTTTCGTGTGTTTGGGAGTAAGTGCTATATTCTGCGTGATAGAGAGAACTTGGGTAAGTTTGAATCTAAGAGTGATGAAGGAGTTTTCTTAGGATACTCTAGAAATAGTCGAGCATTCTGAGTATTTAACTAACGAACTCATGTTGTGATGGAGTCAATCAATGTTGTGATAGATGATGTTGTGGGTGAGGGGGAGACTGTTGAAAATTGTGATAGTGATGGTGATCTCATAAGTTCTAGTGATCCCACTGAACCACCTGTGTCTGAATCATCTCTTAGGAAAATTGAAACACCTGAAAAGGAAACACTTCCACAAGATCGAGATAAAAATCCTAAGGAACCATCGCCTAGGGTTAAGTCTAATCATCCTAAGGACAATATCATTGGAGATTTAGATGAAGGTATGAGACTTCGTAGGAGAGTACTGAACAATCTAGCTTACACTAGCTATGTCTCTCATGTAGAGCCTAAGAAAGTTGAAGAGGCTCTTAGTGATGAGTGTTGGGTGAATGCGATGCATGAGGAACTCAATCAATTTGCTAGGAACAATGTGTGGATCTTAGTTCTCAGACCTGAAAATTGTAATGTTATTGGTACTAAGTGGATCTTTAAGAATAAGACAGATGACCAAGGTACTATAACTAGGAATAAGGCTAGATTAGTTGCTCAGGGTTATACTCAAGTTGAAGAAATTGATTTTGATGAGACTTTTGCCCCTGTTGCACGACTAGAGTCTATTCGGATTCTGCTTGCTGTTGCTTGTACCTTAGGGTTCAAGTTACATAAAATGGACATTAAGAGTGCCTTCTTCAATGGACTTCTTCAGGAAGATGTCTATGTGGAACAACCAAAAGGATTTGTTCATCTTAAGTTCCCTCACTATGTCTACAAACTCCACAAAGCACTTTATGGTCTGAAACAAGCTCCTAGAGCTTGGTATGAGAGACTTACTTCATACCTTGAGAAACATGGATTCTCTCGAGGTGGTGCAGATAGGACCTTATTTATTAGACATATTGAAGAAACTATCACCATTGCTCAGATTTATGTCGATGACATTATTTTTGGGTCTCCTCTTGAGTCTCTAGCATATGAGTTTGCTGAGTGTTTGAAGCAAGAATTTGAGATGAGTATGGTTGGGGAGTTGAGTTATTTCCTTGGACTTCAGGTGAGACAGACAGAGGATGGACTGTTCATTTCACATTCTAAGTATGCTAAGGATCTAGTTAAGCGCTTTGGGTTAGATAGTAAGAAGCATACTAGGATACCTATGAGTACTAGCTTGAAGTTAGGTCGTGATCCTTCAGGTAAGTGTGTAGATCCTTCCCTATATCGAAGTATGATAGGTAGTCTTCTCTATCTCACGGCTACTAGACCTGACATTGCTTTTAGTGTTGGAATGTGTGCTCGATTTTAGGCAGATCCAAAAGAATAACACTTAAGCTCTGTTAGACGCATCATTAGATATGTGAGTGGTACAGTTGATCTAGGGATATTCTATTCTAGGATTTCTAATCTTGAGTTGGCTAGTTACTCCGACGCCGACTGGGCCTGGAACGCAGATGATAGGAAAAGTACGACAGGGGGTTATTTTTACATGGGGAGCAATCTCGTAGCTTGGTTAAGTAAGAAATAGAATTCTATATCTCTATCCACGGCAGAGGTCGAATACATAGCTGCAGGTAGTTGCTGCACTCAACTTCTCTGGATGAAGCAGATGCTGAGTGATTATGGGATTAGTCAAGGGACCATGACTGTTTTCTGTGATAATACAAGTGCTATAAATATTTCTAAGAATCCCATTCAACACTCTCGAACAAAACATATTGACATACGACATCACTTCATTCGTGAGCTTGTTGAATCACATGTAGTCTCCTTCGACCATGTCTCTACTGATAATCAATTGGCTGATCTACTTACGAGACCACTAGATAGATTGAGGTTTGAGTCGCTTCGGACGGCTGTTGGTGTTTGTTCACGTATCTGATCGTGGATTCATGCATATTCATGCATTCATCACATATGCACCTAGTCACTTCATATCTTGCATGTGATCTGTATGTGTGTGTGATGCATTTTTGATTGTTAGTTTGTCGTTTAGTCTTCTTTTGTGTGTTATATTTGTGTGCTTAAATATGAAAATTAAAAAAAAATTTAATTAAAAAAAATAAAAATAATAAATAAAAATAAAATGGGATTTTTTTTTGTGTGCCTTTTATGTGACGATAATAGCTTTTGCATTAAAGATCAAACTCTATTTTTCATCATATGTACAAGTCTGAGGTTCCATCATCGTTCTCTTTGCCTGTGGAGTTCTGAGTATATGGCTCGTCATTCATTTTTGCACAACACACACTGTAATCCTGTGAGTGAGTCTTAACCGCATGAGTGAGACTTGGGATGGTGTTCTTCTGTGATTGGGGTTATGTGTCCATTTGACTTGATCTGGGACTAGTGTCACCTAATCATATTGTCTTTCCCCACTTTTATTTTGTTGAACTTATGACTGTCTTCGGGGCCTATTTGACTCGAACAACTAAGCCTGAGGGGTTTCTAACCTGGTGCCCTATGGTCATCTGACTTGGGAGTCACCGGCCCAAAGTTCGTTACTGGGATCATTTATGTCGCCTAATGGGGATAGCATTGCACTTAAGTTCTTTTGTTGAAAAAAAAAGGGAAGAAATATGGAATCATACAGTTAGGGGGAGTAAAATTGTGACAATCGTAATATTTGATATAGGTCCTCGTGGAATTTGATTTGACTGTCACTTGGTAGACATACACCTCTGTCTGGTTGTTTTCACGTGTCCTTTCTCACTAATTTAAGGTTTTGAGTCTCACTTGCATGGACTACGTGGCACTTTTCACGGTGATGTTCTGTATACACTTTACTCCACGGGATTTTGAACTATGTGTGGACTTACGATTTGTCTATGTGCTGAGTGTCGGGGTTGTGACTTTATGCTTATTATTGGTATAGTTTACATAATTGGTCCCCTGCTTCGTTTTTTTTTATTAGTTTCCGATGCTCTGCACTTGTCTTATTTTTGAAAATACACGATTTGGGGCTAATTTCGTCATTTCTTGATAATTGTGTTCTTTTTCTCAATATTCAAAATTTAAGTGCTATTTCTGATATTTGAACTTCTCTCGAGTCTCGCCTGGACTTCGCTCGAGTGACAAAAGCAGAACGCTTTTCGCTCGAGTTTCGCCCATGGCTCGCTAGAGCGACAATGCCTTTTTAAGAGTCCCAGTTTTCATTTTTCCCGCAATTCTTTTCCATTCTCTCTCATTTTTTCAACAATTGCTGCGATTCATTCAAAATTTATCCATCACACTTGTTTATTACCCAATTTCGAAGCCCCTAACTTATATTGGCTTCCGGATTTCAACATTTGCACAGCGTTTTTGAGGTAATTGTTTTTCGTTTTTTTTCTTTCATTTTTTTTTCCTCTTGTGTTTAGTTTTTTTTTGTATTTTGATTGTTTCTTCTTCCCTTGTCATGATTTTCATGCATTTCTTGTTTGTTATTCTTGTTATTCTTCGCATTTTGCATCACAAATTACACTAAATTGTGTGTTCTTCCATGGTTTAGTAATGGCATTTTCGTGTTTTTCGTCCATGTTCGTGTTGTTCATTCTTGCGTTCCGTTACTCCGTTTCTTGTGTGGTTTATTTCATTCTAAAGATCATGGTTTCTAGTTTGTGGGACTATGCTTAGTTGTGTGTTTCCATCTCGTATGTGCTTGGAATTGTGTGCCAAAGTATCGCACGCCACGTGTTCGATGAAAGTCCTTAGCTATATGACTTTTGTTTTCCCGTAGTTTTTTTTTTGTGTTTCTATTTTCCTTCTTTCCATTTCGTCTTTGTTTCATTGTCGTCACGTGCCATGTTGAGTGCTTTTGGACATATTTTAG